CTTATATGTTTAAGTTTCCTTCTTATTTTTTCAGCAAAAATTTATTAGTTCGTTCAAATATATAAAACAAAGTAAAAGAATCCCTCTTTCCTTCTTGCACTCTGTGATCTTTATACGACCATGCATTACAACTTTGAAAAGCTGAAAACGCATGTCTGCGATGTTATCGTCATGCGATGATTTATAGGTACTTTATTTTTTACCACGATATTTTTGAAGATGATGTTTTTGAACCGCTTTATTTTTCGAAGGCGATATTTTGTACCACGATGTTTTTTAACTGCGATATTTTCTCCTTGCGTTGTTTTCTCCGCAACGTGTTTGTCCGCGATGTTTTCGCCACGACGTTTTCGACGGACACCGTACGTACAGATGATACGTAAAACATTCTTCAAATAGATTTCAGAGCGGCCAAAATGGATATTTTCGCTAAAATCTAAGAGCCGAAATACGCGTAACATTCGAACTTGAAGAGTGGATGGCGCTGAATGTTGTCTGACAGAACTGGTTTGGAGATGAAAAAACGCAGACGAAGCCGCCATGACAGCGACAGCCGTCACTCCAGCTAGTATTTTATATCAGGGAGTGGCAATAAATTTCTCTCAAACTAGAATTTTAATAGGTTCGTGCAAAAGCAAAGTAAATTTTTAAAATGTAATAAAGCGAAAAAAAAAAGTCTGAAAGTTTTCGGATTTTATATTTCGCCCGAAGGGAAGATTTTTTAACGTTTTGTGTGTTACTTTCATTTATTAAATATCATGTTCTTCGCACTTAAACTATAAAATTCATTTTCAACAGTAATATCGCAAAATAATTTTTAAATGAGCATTTCTTTACAAATTTCTGATACACAGTCTCGCGCTGGAGATAATTTGTTTCCCCGTACAGTGTTGCCACTGCTCGCTTTGAAATCGTTGCGTTTGTTAATCAAAAATTCGTCAAAATGTTATAAAATAATAAATAGATAACAAAAGAAATTTCGAATTCCAAATTAGGGATTTCAGATGCCCATATTCGGTGGAAGATTAAGTTATTCAAAATTTGAGGGATCTAGGTACCGTTGTTTCATCACAATGCGAGACACATACATACATTTATGCAGATTATTCATTATTTAATTCCTTTAAATGTAATTCAGGGCTCTAATATTGGCTGGCAACAGATTGAAAAGTGAACCGACATTTATAGTGAATCGACACAAAGTGCCAAAACGAAATTAATAGCCCTTTGGTCTAAAAATTAAAATTTCAAATCTCCTTTCGAGAAGTATAAAGGTTGTTCGCACGTTTTTTACACGAGTGGCATTGTATTCACAGAATTATTTTATAAAGTATTTCTCCCGCCTTCCTAGCGTGCCTTCGTGGTGTAGTGGTCTGCACACTAGGCCGGTATTCCAGAGGTCCGTGGCTCGAAAGGCGGTTGCTAATTTTTCATCTTGCCTGCTTCCAAAAAATATACCTAATGCCTCTATAGCGGCGCCCGAACTAAAAGGTATTGGATGATGATTCTCCTCACCCAGAATTAGACGATTGGGTCCCCTAAAACCCCAGTCGCCCTTTAAAAGGAAGGAGTATATAAGGTATTTCTCCCGCCTCCGTGGGTGTAGTGGTTCTTCACGCTGGGTCGGTATTCCAGAGGTCCGTGGTTCGATTCCCGGCGAAAGCGGTTGCTAATTTTTCATCTGGCCTGCTTCCAAAAAAGTACTTAATGTTTCCATAATTTAGCCTAAAATTTGGTTCTTTGAATATTCTGTTTGATAACTCTTATTCTTCTCTAGTTTTATACACCGTAATTTTCTAGATAATGAGGCTTTTTGTGGGAACGGAAGAGGTATTTTATCCCATTCGCCTTAGCAGCTTTCCAAAGTCGAAGGGGAGGTAAAGGTCGATGTTTGGAGAACCCACTTTTTAGGCTAACAGTAAATCGATAATTAAATGCATATGTGACGCTTCGCTTCAATAAACTTAAAATAGAGTATCACAATATAACAATATAAATTCCTTAAAACAGAAACATGAAATGATCATAGAATTTAATGAGCGGTTTAATACTTTTGAATGATCATAAATGTTTCGAACTTCCCACAAATCACTCAAATTCATTAATGGAAATATTTACTCCTTTTGATGTATTTTCCTTAGCCGGTTGAATATCTGACATCGAAGCTGCAAAGCAAATGCTTTATTTTCGATTAAGCAAAACCGTGTATATGTTTTCAAGAAATCGAATTAATTCAAAAGAGAAAATTCTCTACAGCAGTTTAAGAGGACATGCCTGAAGTATTCTTTAAATGGACATTAAAAACATCAAAGGAAATAACTTTTAATTTAGCACTTTTAATTAATGACGTTCCTTGAGTTAGGAATCCTTAAAGAATTTTCAGTTTCAATCAAATTTTTACGTGATACTGATGCTTAAGCTGAATTATACAGATGCTGTCCGCACATGTTTATCCGATTTTCATTGTGTTTATAGAAATATTTTACCTAAAATCGTGGTGTTTTAAATGTTCTATTTCATAACATCTTTATTTTTCACTTTAATTCTACACCTTTAATCCTAAGATAATAAACCATTCCTCTTGAACAGCTTCCAATGTCCATGGAGGATTGCAGGTCGAGGTTTGGATAATCCGCTTTTTAAAACTCCAGAAAAGCAAAATTGCATGCGAGATACGTCAGGAGATATAGTAGGGATATGAATGAAGGGTATTTGTTTGACACCTATTTCTTGTTCTGTTTTTACAGGAAATTGGCAGTGAATTTTGACCTGCGGCTGCTTGCTTTACCTTGATTGTATGATTGATGACACTGTGGGATAAGAGAAGGTATTTTATACCTGAAAATCGGGAAGGAAATATGTTCCTGATAATGTGTAGAGTTAATTTTAAAGTTTTTATCCACTCTCTTTATTTTTAATTTGTTATTATATGAAGAAACACCTACAATCATAAATCCATTTGAGAATCTTTCTTGAGATTCTTTGAACAATGTTTTCACATTTTTGGCTCCTCTCTGATGATAATAAATAGATCTCTTTTTATTTAAGTCATTTAAATGCACTCAAGGTTCATCTACTGTAACAACATTTTTCCACTTTTGACCGGATAAATGTTTCTCATGAAGAATTCTGCGTTCGGGGACATGTCGTGAATAAAGAAGATACACGTTGCTTCGGTCGCCTTCTTCAGATTCAAATCATCATTAATGACTTTATTTACTGTTGACAGGGCATTTTAATGATTTTGTATCTGTCTTTACTTGAGAGAGTTTCTTTCAACATTAAACACTTAACCTTTACAACATTCGAAACATTTACCTTTATACTTTGGGGACAAATTTTTACATTTGAAGCCAAACTTTGACTTTTTACTTCCTTGTACAAAGTAAAAAGGAAGTACTGTAATTGCGAAAAGTTTCACGCAGCATGTTTCAACGAAAATATCCATTTTGACCGCTATCGAATGCAATTTAACGGTGTTTTTGCGTGAAATCGGTATGTAAGGACAGAATAAAAGACTCTTTTCCTTCAAAAAATTATAAAACTGCTTTAAAATTAATTCTGAAGAGAATTTTTCGTCGCGTCAGTACAAACGTATGTACGTACGTATCTCAACTCGAAAACGAGTAGCCTCAGAACGTTGAAATTTTGTATATAGGACTGCTATAACATGTAGATGTGCACCTCGTATTTTGGTTGCAATCGGCCGCACCAAACATATATAAATATATTTATATATATATCCACTCTGTTACCCGGCTCAGTGATCTCAGTTTCTTTACTCTTATATGTTTGTAAATTGTACATTTTTTGCTTTAAAAATGATTGAATTATGTTGTTCTTATCTTCCGCTTAAGGTTTTTATACCTTTCGTAAATCTGGTAGCAATATTTGTACAATTATCAACAATTTAAAAACTGTTTAAGTGCGGTTAAGTTTTAAATAACATGGCGGACATATTTGTTTACATTTGAAACAGCAGAATAGTAGACTTGTTGCCAATCTAGAGAGACTAAGCATCGCAACAACAAAGATAATGCCTTCATTTATTATTGCGAATCAAATCATGCTTAATCCTTTCTGGAATTGTTTCGAGGAAATAAGTGTTTAAGATTTACTTCGTAATTTTTAATACAGATATTTTGAGTTTTTATGTATAATTGCCTTGTCGCGAAGTGAGAACTGAATTAATTGAATAAGAAATACTCAATCGTCTGCGAAAAACTGTTTGTTTTTGGTTTGCTTGCTTAATTTCTTTTATACATCGTTCTAGCTTTTCCAGTATTTGAATAGAACATGTGGCAACGATAAGATAATTCTTCAAATGATATACATTTTGTGTATTCTGAGTTGTGATATGAACGAAATATTAAGTGAACCTAGCGCCAGAGTGTCGCTATAGTAAAAATATAGTGAATTTTAAAGAATGCATTTAATCTATTGTGGTTTATGAACTGTCGACGAAGTAGATTTAATTTAATCTAATAAGTTTAAATGAAATGCAAGAAAAATGCGTATAATTTAATATTCCGTACAAGAAGTCATGTGGTGTACACATCAGATTTTTTTATTTTCTGGTTGACAATATTAACCGTAGGTTTAGATACCTAAAACCGTTGTCTTTAGCAGTGTTTTTCAATAGCTAGATAGAAAGTAATTTCTTTGGAAAGACGATAAGCATAGCCTTGCTTCCATTGCTTCATTAACCGCGCCATTTTGCATGAAAACAAAGCTGCAACAGACGATAATTTATACCTTTAAAAATGTTGTTGCAGTTAAAAAAAAAGTTTTCCAAGCAGATGGCTTTTTTATAGCAAAGCAAAATCTCTTAAAATTGTACGAAGAACCTTTGTATGGTTGTTTAATATTTAGTTGCTCTAGGCATCGTCCTTTTCCCTTTTTACTCTTCTGCTGTACAGATTATTATTGTGCACATTTTAAAACAGCATCAGAAAACGTTTTAAAATAAGCTATTAAAAAACATTTCGCGGCCAACTTACCTCCAAGTATCTGACGAGCCATTGTAACGGAATCACTATCTGGCCAAGAATTTAAAGTTAAGAATCCATTTCTAGTGGCAGCTGTTTGTCCCAAGCCGTCTTTATCCATAGCTCCGTAAAGGTAATTGCTGGCATCTTCGTTTAATTCACTCCAGCTTGGGTTTGTGTGAGAGAAAGAACCTTTGTGGGATCCAAGATATTGTCCTTGTTTTGGAGTATCGAAATCTGGGAAGTTGCTGTGGGTGGAATGGATAGCCGTTGTGCAAAGGAGGAAGGACGCAAAGAATGCAGTCCACATGGAGACAGCAATCCACATTGCCATTGCAGTTCTCTAATCTAGATTGAAAAACCATTCATTATCAATCTTGAAAGAATTTCAGTTATTTGTAACAAAGTTTGTAGCATAAAAAATTAACAGGTATGCTGTACCCACACAAAATTAAGGGGGGGGGGCATTTCCGTTTCTCCCGTTCTACCAGGTCGATTGATGAAATTTAATTCTCGTTTCTCATGTTTGGAAAGCGCGACTTTATTAGATCTATATGTAGCATTTTTCTGACATATATGTATTTTGAACAAAATCGAACTTCCTGAAATGATGTACAGATTCTTTTGGACATCTAAGACTCAACTTATGCCAAATACCCAGTTTTGTAAAAAATCGCACAAGAAGGTTTCAAAAAATCATCTTTAAAAATGCTAACTCTTCAGTGTTAATTAAATTTGATATATATTTATTAATATCTCCTTTTTTTTATTAAATTCACCTTTGATTCGGTCTGTGATAAGGTTACATAAAAGAAGAAGAGACTGAAGATTTATATGGACAAGGATGTCTCGTGAGCATAAGCTGAAAATTATTATTTTTTTTAACTTACAAATACGTTTTCAATAGTTATTAAAATAATTAAATCATTGGCAATGTAAAAAAAGCAAGCTCGAGAGCCACGAATTGCTCTCGCAGGTAAAATGTATAGAATTTGATTTTTGAAAATAGTAAGTTTCTCTCTTGTCGAATTGTATGTAGCCATTTTTTATGCGTTCAATAAAATTTTTATGCTGTGTTTTGTTTTGAACCTGATGTCCAACCCAGGGTTTGTATAGCGGTTTCGGCCACTAACCACAAGTTTTTCACCGTTTGGAATTTAAGTTGAATCAAAATAAAATTCGCAGTCATTTTTTGGTTTGAAATTAGTATTTTTTAAAAGTATTTTTAAACTTTTTTGAAAAACCTTTGAACTAAAACCTATTTAAGTTTTACCATCCCCTTAAAGTTGAAGTATTTCGAGACATACCTGCAAAAAAAAACAAAAGATTTTTATTCAAAATCTCTGAAGATATACATGAATCCAAATACTGTCGCGTATGGAAATTTTGTACCTTCGTTATAAGCTATAATAATGCTAAATGTGGTTTACGCCCTTTGTTAAAATTATTTGTATGAATGAACGAAGCACCTTCTGTACAATGAGAGGGAAAGGAAAATGGGTTACCATATGCCATATATTATGAATTTTACCAAGTGAATTATTCTCGGCTCTAACTGGGAAAATAATAATGCACCAAGATAAATTTTTTAATTTTTCGATAAATGTCTACTAAATTTTACAAATTTTGATGTCTGAGCATTATTTAAGTCGTAGAATCTAAGTAGGAAAAACCATTTGTATATGGTATGTCATTTCAGGAAAAATGCGATTTTATCTCAAAATACTTATGTTAGACCAACGCTGTATGTAAATCTAATTTATACAATAAGTCGCACTTTCGAGACATGAAAAACGCAAATTAAATTTCGCGAAGTAGAATGGGAGATATAAAACTGTCTTTCTCTCTCTTTTTACTTCCGTGTACGAAGTGAAAAGGAAGTATTGTAATCGCGAAACGTTTCAGGCAGCATATTTCAACGAAAATATCCATTTTGACCGCTATCATATGCAATTTAACGATGTTTCTGCGTGACATCCGTACGTAAGGACATAATAAAAGACTTTTTTCCAGCCAAAAAATTATAAAACTGATTTAAAATGAATTCTAAAGATAATTTTTCGTGGCGTCTGTACATACGTGTACGTACAGACGCCACGTACGTACGTTTTTGAATTATGCGATGTACGTACGTACGAACATATCTCGCATAATTCAAAAATGAGTAGCCTCAGAACGTTGACATTTTGTACATAGGACTGTTAAACCATGCAGATGTGCACCTCGTATTTTGGTTGCAATCGGCCGCACCAAACGTATATAAATATATGTATATATACACTGACTACCAATAAGCATTTGGACACCTATGCAATTGACGATATCTGCGATCCTAAGGTACGTCACGGACTCTGCCGGTATATATCGTGTAGGAAACAGCATCGGCTTTAGTCGTATGCAAGATGCCTCGCAGTTCGGAGCTCTCTGATTTCGAGAAAGGTATAATTATCGGGTATCACAAATGTGACCGATGCATAAGGGACATATCTAGCGATCTGAAGTACCCAAAATCGTCAGTGGCCTATGTGATTAAGAAGTGGAAGGCGAGCGGTGATTGTCGGAATGTGCCCCGAGTCGGCAGACCAATGAAACTGGGGGATAGAGATCGACGAGTGCTGTCTAGAGAAATTCAGAAAAACCGCACCCAACCGATGGCCCTCATCCGCCAGGAGTTTCAACAGGCATCCGGGAGTACTGTGTCAATAAGTACCATCTGTAAGGAAGCACATCTGCTTGGTTTTCATGGTCGTGCTGCTGCCCATAAGCCTTTAATCACAAAGTCCAACCGCTCTGCTCGGTTAATGTGGTGCAAAGCACATCGAAATTGGACCGTAGATCAGTGGAAACGGGCTCTTTGGAGTGACGAATCAAGCTTCACCCTTTACCGTTCGGATGGCAGGGTCTGGGTCTGGCGTCTACCTGGAGAACGTCTCTTGCCAGAATGCATTGTGCCAACAGTCAAGTTCGGCGGAGGTGGAATTATGGTCTTGGGGTGTTTCTCCTGGTATGGGCTGGGACCCTTGGTCCCCATTCATGGTAAGCTCAACTCCGATGCCTACTGCACTATTTTGGATGACAATGTGCTTTCTACGTTGTGGCAGTTTTACGGGTTGGACCCCTGTTACTTTCAGGACGACAATGCCAGTTGTCATGTTTCGACGTTAACCAAGGCTTGATATGGTGCCAATGGAGTTCATCGAATGGACTGGCCTGCCCAGAGTCCAGACCTGAACCCTATCGGGAACCTCTGGGAGGAGTTGCATCGCCGAATTCAGGGGTGCACTACCCGTGCAAAATCGGTGAAGGAACTTCTATGTCTTCTCCAAGCCGAGTAGAAGAAAATACCACTACCTGTCATACAAAGACTTGTGGAAAGTATGCCCCGGAGGGTCCACGCTGTAATTACCTCTCGTGGAGGCTCTACCAACTATTGATTTTTTATAAAGTTACTTTTTCTTTTCTATCACAGGTGTCTAAATACTTATTGGTTGTCAGTGTATATCCACTCTATTAATCGGCTCAGTGATCTCAGTTTCTTTACTCATGTCAGTTTTACTATATGTTTGTAAGTTGTGCATTTTTGGCTTTAAAAATGATTGATTTATGGTGTTCTTATCTTCTGGTTAAGGTATTTATGCCTTTAGTAAATCTGCATGCAATATTTGTGGAGTTATGAACAATTTAAAAATTGTTTAATTGCAGCTAAGCTTAATTATTTTTGCGATGGTGGCCACTGCTTGTTTACATTTGAAACAGCAGAATAGGAGATTTATTGCCAATTTAGAGAAAGTAAGCTTCGCCACAACAAAGATAACGTCTCCTTTTATTATAGCGAATGAAATCATGCTTAAGCTATTGTGGAATTTTATTCGAGGAAATAATAAGTGTTTAAGATTTACTGCGTAATTTTCAATATAGATATTTTGAGTGTTTATGTATTTTTGCTTTGTCGCGAAGTGAAAACTGAATTAATTGAATGAGAAATACTGAATCGTCTGTGTTGAAAATCTGTTTCTTTTTGTTGTTATTGTTATTTGCTTAATTTCTTTCGTATATCGTTTTAGATTTATTATTGTATTTGAATAGAACATGTGGCAACGATTCGATAATTCTTAAAATGATATAAATTTTGTGCATTCTGAGTTAAAAAATGAATGAAATGTAACGCTTTTAAGTGAACCTAGCACCAGAGTGTCACTATGGTAAGCAAACATAGCGAATTTTAAAGAGTGCATTTATTCTATTGTGGCTTATACATTATCGACAAAGTAGATTTAATTCAATCACATAAGTTTAAAGAAATGCAAGAAAAAATGAGCATAATTTAATATTCTGTACAAGGAAGTCATGTGGTGTACACATCAGATTTTTTTTTTTTTTTTTTTTTTTGTGTGTGTGTGTGTGTGTTTGTATGTGCAGAATATACCACTGTACTACAAATGCTTAAGAAAGGATACATAGAAATATTGTAACTATTCATGGTAAGAAATAACTAATATTTTAAAGGTATCTTCTATGATATTTCGCCTTACCTGATCTTTTATTGAAACTTGGAAAGATATTTGTAATTAAGACATTTTGTTCAGCTAGTTCCTTGCCAGTGCGGTTTAATTTACATTCGCCAAACTAAGAGAGCCTTAAAATTTCGCGTCAAGGAACTGAGGCATATGTTAGAAAAAAGGAAACACAGAAGTCTTCTATTGCTCAACATTGTTGGTCCGAAAAACACTTTCAATTTTTCTGCTGCCAAAATTATTCAAAAGACTTCTTCCATTGTAGAACTGGATTTTCTAGAATCATTTCACATTCATAAAAATCTTTCTGTTCTAGTTAACGATCCTAATTCCAATCCAAATTTGACTTCGGCCTTTAAAGAAATTATGTTTTAGTTCTGGTTTGATAGCGCCAGTATAGATAGATGGCGCCAGTTGCTCATTCTTGTCCAGACTTTCTTATCTTATCTAATCCTTATTTCCTATCTTGTTCATTTGCGGTTTTGCAGCTGAGGATGAAGGTTTGGTAAAACCATCGAAACTAGTCCTGTGAAAATTTTGTAAATATAACGCTGATTTTTGTTGTTTGAATTCTGAATTAGTATTTATTCGGCGTGTTATTGTGTCTTAATTCCCCGCAAAATACAGTCCTCTTATCGGGCATTCAACTAATCGTAAAACTCAGGTAAAGCAAATGTTTTTGAATTTTAGAAAATCCCTCCTCCCCGAAAAATTGACCATTATTAGAGACTTAAAGCACATCGAGGACACCGACCCAGAAAGAGTGATTTAGCGCTAATAAATGAATAAGGATGACTTTATTACACAATTTTAGATTTTCCCTTTGGTT